GCTTCAGTCTCTGGGAGCCTCAGCAATGGGGGCAGGTACTAATCCTAGGTACGTGGAAAACCCAGCCCAGAGCTCCTCATCTGAGGGATGGTGAGGGATGAGGAACTGGCCTCAACCACTTCCCTGGGCAGCCCATTCCAATGCTTAATAACCCTTTCAGAATAAAAATTTTTCCTAATATCCAACCTGAACCTCCCCTGGTGCAACTTGAGGCCATTTCCTCTTGTCCCATCGCCTGTGACTTGGGAGAAGAGACCGACCCCCCCTTCTCTACACCCTCTTTTCAGGTAGGAGGAACTTGCTTCGGCTGTTCCCACAGCCTCATGATGTCCTTGTGGGGGTGTCCTCTGCTGCTGCACTGTGACAGAGGAGCCTGGTGGTATTGTCACGGTGGGTGAGTTTTCTCACCAGCACGGAGCAAATTGAAGTGGGGTTTGATTTATTCCTCCAGGCAGGCTTGCTGGGTCCCCATGCAAGGTCAGGACACGCTATGGTGAAGCTGCTAGCATTGAGCTCAGGGGATGGGCCGTGCCTCTCGGTGCTGAGATTTGGGCAGCTTGGCTTAAATGGGCCGGTCTGAGGCCACGCATGGAATTGGTGGTAAAATACTCGGGCTTTCTGTGTGCTTGGTGTGCAACACCTCTGTGCAAAGATGATGGTGAGCCTGGCAATCCACTTGTTGCTGCTCTTGCTGGGATGCCGGCTGTTCAGCACAAGCACATGTGGGTCTTGCTGGGCTCCTCTTGGTTGCATTTTGTTTTATTGTTCTGATAACCCTGTTCTTCCTCTGGCTGCATTTTAATTCCTTGCTTAGAGTGGCTTCATTCCTTGGCGAAGGACCAAGCATTGTTTTGCCAAGACATCCCTGATGTCATCCTGATTTTGACCAGTTGGAAGAGCCACACTTTTAATGTTAGAAAACTAAGTTTTGACTTTCAACAAAAGAGTGATATCATTTTTCATGAGAGGGTGAAAGTGTTCCCACTTCTCAGTCAGTTCAGTTGAGGCTAAAAAAGCTGAGCTGTCTGCCATCTGTCTCCTCTCCCGTCTCTCCCCCCACCCTCATCGTTTTTGAACAGGTTGGCCAACTTCAATCACAGCTGAAAGAAGGGTAACCGTCTCAAAGACAATTATGCTTCCACAAATTTTGTCACCTGGCAGAGGATCATTTACAGAGAAGCAAAAAGAAGTAGGTTGGATGGCCAAGGGTCAGTCAGCTGGTCCATCATGATGGTGTGCAGCTCCAGACCAGCTACAGGGTATGTTGTCTCTGGTTGAGCTGGAGGTACTCAGAGGGATGTGGTGGAATTTGGCTGTTGGTGGTGGGGAGGATTAGGGGATAGAGAGCACAAACGTGTAAGAAAACGGGCTTTATTAGTTCTGCTCTTCCCCGGCTTGTTTCTGCAGTTATTTGAAGGTTTTTTAAACGTAAAAACGTCAACAAAAATTAACAAATTTTAAAATACTGACAATTTTTTTTTTTTGGTATGATTAGTTGGAAGACAGAGCAGAAAAATAGAGTTCTAGTATAGGAAAAACAGGAGAATAAAACCCACTCTTTTAGGATGAAGTGCAAAGGCTGTGTTTTAGACGCAGGTGGGATTAGCATCCCAGGTCATCTGGTCCCTCCAAGGCTGGCCAACTTCTGGGGGGCATGAACAGGGTCCAAAAAACTGGAGCTACTTGCCTCACTCTGCCATGACAAGCCCATGGCTGGGAAAGCCTTTGAGGGTCTTTTTCTGTTAGAGGTGGCTGGGCGGGCCAGGACAGGGGTGCGGGATGTAACGCCCTGCATCTGGAACCGCTCAGCATTTCGGGTACAAATGGTAAACGTTTCGGGTATGTTTTATCTCTTGAAAACACCTTCTGCATGCTGCGTTTAGAAATCCAGCACGTGTGGAGGTACCTGCTGCCTGGCAGGGCTAGTACTTTTATACACTCATCTTTGGACTATTTGGTGCTTAAATTCAAAAGGACAAGTTAATATAATTCATTCTTCTTTAACAGTTGGTTTGAGGAGATGCAACTGCATTGAAATGAAGGAACTGATTGTTTCTAATTCTGTGAGGCAGTTGAAGTAAAGCAAATGCTAATGTTCTGGGTTTTTATATTCCCAATTGCTCTAAGCCATTTAAAAATGTATATTTATTATAGCAGTGACTATGCTAGATAATCTTGCTTTCAAAAGACTAAAAAAAAAAAAAAAACAACCCAGAAAAAGAAAAAAAGCTACTCTGCTGTAGTCTGTCTGTCTGTCCAGGTTTTATCCACATGAAAAGTCTTGTCTTTTCAAGTGCTATCAATGCCAATAGAGACTTTGGTCCCAGTTCACCATTCTGTTTAATTTCCATTGCATTAAAACATTGTGCGCATCAGCTGGGCAGTGATTCCTGGCCGGGCATCTCTGGCAGAGGGGACAACTCCTCTCCAGGTGGGGAGAGAACTGTTGTCTTCCCATGGCAAGAGAAAGGGGGTGGGATGGGATGGGGTGGGATGGGGCATTTGCTGTCCCTCTTGATGAAGGTCCTTTTCAGCCAGCAGAGCGATGCTGGTTTATACTGGCAGGGGATCTGATGCCCTGCACACTCTGCCCCCTCAGACAGAGGACAAATTAAAGCAGCTAGGCTTAGATTGCACAAAAATTTGCTCCAGGCTGATCAGGGAATGGAAATGCTTCTTGGAGCCAGCTGGGGAAAGATAAGCTGACCTTTTGGCTGTAAATTATTGCCAGCTAATAAGTCCTGGTTGTGTGCTGACAGGAGAGGGGAAGGTGTGCCTTTGCAGCAGAAATTGTGTTGAATGTTAAAAAAAAAACACAATCAGTTTCAGGAAGAGTGGAGTGACTAAGCCTGTCATTCATTCAGCTCTTAGATGCAGAGTAGGTGCTTCTGTGTCTTCCTTTTCTATCTCTGCTTACAGGAGTGATATTACTGAATTAATTATGACATCTTTGTGAAGAGCTGAAGAATCACTCAAGCCTTCTATTCAGCAGCAGAGAAAAGTCAGATTCATCTCACGGTAAATTTGAAATTACACCAACCTGAACTATCGCTACTGGCAGCATAATAATAAGGCAGGTAATCAAAATCAATTAAATCCCAGTGCCTTCCTATTGTCCTAGAAAATTCAAATTTGAAATTAGTTTGAGTTCATTTGACTTCTTAATAAAATAAGCGGAGCTTCAGAGATCATTTGAAAGAAGTATTTGGCAGTGACTGATCTTTTCTCAAACTGGAAAGGGCAGAGGAGCTGTGTGGGTGCACGTGCGTGTCAGCCCACACTGAGCGCCAAGTACAACCAGGTACTCAAAGTCCATGGGGTGACTGGTCTGAGGCTGCTGTGTTGGTGTATGTTAACTGGGACTGGGGCCCACCAAGGCTTGGTTTGTTAAAATTTAGGTGATGTTGATCAGGTGAATGGCAGATGAAATGCGCCTTCATTTCCCACCGTGTAAGAGGGAGGCTTGCTAGAAAAAAATCACCTTGTACAGCCCCTTTTACCGAGTCTGGAAGTGGCACAGTTCTTCCTGGGAAGAGCCCTACATACAGCTGGCCAGAGAAACTAGTTGGTTGCTTGGGTTTTTTTAATATTTTTTTTGGGGAGCGATCTCTGATCTGCCAGTATCTGCTTATAGAGATCCCTTTGGGAAAGGGGTTCCCCCCTCTTTGTGCCCACTGCCTTATGCAGGTAAGATTTTACTTAACTCCTTTTAAACTTTTAAGAGTCTTGCTGGCTGGACCCTTGGCAGGGAGGGTAGGCTGAGTCTGACGTCCCACCTACTGCCCAGAGGAGGGTGCTCAGTAATAAAATTCCTGCCTGGCTGAGATGCTGGAGCTGCCCCATCCCACAGTTTTGCTCTTCTGTTTGGGAGAAGAGGAGGTTTGGGTTGTTTTGCTGTGTGGCTTCTATTCCGGCAGCAATTCCACTTTGTGCCCATGGGATTTCAGAGTGATTTGGTGCCTCTTTGGGGTCATGAGTGTGTGTGCCACAGCCAGAGAGACACAGGGTGCTGTGGTGGGGCACCCCAAAGGCTCAGGGAAAAACCAGTGCGCCAGGATGTGGTGGTGGACATGGGGGAAGGAGGGAGTGATGTAATTTGGGAGGGAAGAGGAACATGACCCAGAGAGAGATCAGAAGAGCTCGGCTCTCAGCTCTTACTGCCAGCAATCCCAAACTGGACTTGCTGTTCCCTCCAGCCTTTCCAGGTGCTGGGTTATCATAGAATTACAGAATGATTAGAGTTGGAAGGGACCTTAAAGATCATCAAGTTCCAACCCCCCCTGCCATGGGCAGGGACACTTCCCACTAGAGCAGGTTAATCAAAACCCCATCCAGCCTGGAATACCCCACTTCCAGGGATGAGGCAGTCACAGCTTCTCTGGGCAACCTGTTCCAGGGTCTCATCACCCTCACAGCAAAGAATTTCTTTCTGGTATCTAATCTAAATCTCCCCTCTTCCAATTTAAAACCATTACCCCTTGTCCTGTCCCTGTGCTTCCTGACAAAGAGTCCCTCCCCAGCTCTCCTGGAGCTCCCTTCAGATATTGGAAGGCTGCTCTAAGGTCTCCCCGGAGCCTTCTCTTCTCCAGGCTGAGCAACCCCAGCTCTCTCAGCCTGTCCTCGCAGCAGAGGTGCTCCAGCCCTCTGAAGCACCTTTGTGGCCCTCCCCTGGACCCGTTCCAACAGGTCCCAAATGTTCTCTTCCAGTCTGGCCCTGAAATGGGCAGCTCCTCCTCCCCTTCCCGGCTCTGAGCAGCGGCATCTGCTCCATCCACCGCCTCACCCCGTCCCCTCCCGCGGAGCATCCCGGTGCCGGGATCTCCGCTTTCCTTCCTTCCTTTCCTCCCTCCCTCCCTCCCCGCGGCTTCGAGCCGCACCAGTGATGGGGAGAGCGTCACCGTCTCCCAGCAACGCTCCTAGCAACGCTCCTGGCAACCGGGCAGCATCTGCTCCCGCTGGACCAATCCGCGCCGGGAGCATCTGGGAACCCACCTCCGCGGGCTGCGGCCGGGAGGTGATCCGCTTCTCAGTGGCTGCAGGGGACCCGCAGGAGCTGCCACCCACCGCCACCTCCACCGCCACCATCTCCTCCAGGAGCAGCAAGGAGGCTCCGGGCAGCGAGGGAAGGACGGGGAGCAGCCCTCCCTCCGGAGCCGGGGCTCGCTGGGTGAGTGGCCATGGGCTGGTGGTGGCCCCGGGGGGGACCAGGCAGTGAGCTGTGGGGTTGTCTGTGGCAGTGGGGTGACGTGGGGTGGGGGGCTGCGCTGGTAGCATCTCCCCAAAGGGCTTTCTCAGGTGGCTGCTGGCGTGGAGTTTCGTGTGGGTTTGTGAGCTCTCGGCTTTGCTGCAGCGGGGAAGAGGGCAAGGAGCTGGGAGGGATGCTGGCCCCGGGCTGGGGGCAGGGGTGCCCGCCGCTCTGCTGGACTCTAAGCGTGCTCTGTGGAAGGTCATTTTAACCAGAGTCAGCTTTTAACAGTCAGAGCCCAACTCTGAAAAGTGACCGTAGCTACTCTCTCATTGCCTGTCAGCAAAGCAGCATCCTCGGGGGTGAGACAGCTCTCTAAATATACACATCTTAGAGCTGCCAGACATGGATACACATACACACACGCACACACGCTCTGTTTCTTTCTCTCTTGCAGGATTTAGACCTGTTTCTTTTCATCCCTGTACATAAATCATAGAATTGTCTAGGTTGGAAGGGACATTAAAGATCATCTAGTCCCACCGTCAACCTAACTCTGACAAAAAAATAAATAAGAAATAAGCAATAAAAAAACAAACAAACAAACAAAAAAACAACACTAAACCATATTCCTGAGGACCAGGAAGGGCATGAGTGTCTCCACACACATGCAAAAAGTACAGAGTTTGGGTATGCGCGTGCACGTCCGTCATCGGTTTTCCCCCCCCTGGAGTGGGAAATATTCTTACTACAGGGTGCTAAATGCTCCCCCAGAAGGCAAGGCATCAGCCCTGTAACTGCTGCATCTACTTGCAGCCCGGAGGCTGTGTGTGAGGCAAATGCTGAATGCTGCAATAATTCTGTTAAATAAAACGGCAATCTGCCTTTCCCCAGACCTGCAGGCAGTGTGGGGGTGTACGCGCCTGTGTGAGAGCAGGAAATTAATGCTACTACTCAAAATAATGGTGTGGGTTTAATAGTCCCCCTCTTTTGCTTTCCTCTGAGCCCGACAAGAATTAATGGAGAAAATAACGTGCCGTCTTACAAGGTGGTGTTGAGGGCAGTAATCATATTCTAGCCAGGAAACTTCCGGATATTTGGAGGAGTAAGCTTTATTTTTGCAGCATTTACTCCGAGAGGTTTACAGCTCCACTGAGAGACTGAAATGATTTTTCTTATTGTTTTATTTCAATTTCCTGATGTTTGAAAGTCCAGAAAAGCAAGGTCAAAGTTAGAAAATTGGAGGTGACATCAGAACTCTTGTTTTTCCTGTTATTAAGCCCTATGGGGCTCCTGCAGCCCAGCTACTTGCTGCATGTGCGCTGAGCCCGTGCAAGGAGGGAATCTTACCAGAACTGCTCAGATTATCCCAAAAAGACCCTCGGGAGGTTGGCTCTGCATCCTCAGGTCCCTCACAAGTTTGCAGACAGACTTCAGCTGGTTGGGCTTGCCTTCAGAGTGAGGATGAGTGTTGGATTGGTGTTGGTGGTTCAACACTTGGATTCGTGTTGGAAGAGGGTGAAGCTGGAAATATGATTTTGATAAAATCCTGTTTGGTTTGATTTGAATTGATACAAGCAGTGGGACTACAGGGAACGAGAGGGGAATAGTCACTCAATCGTTAAGTCTCTTCTCTTTGCGCGCTCATGAGAGCTATTCAGATGCGTGTGCCTTGCACACATGTGTGTCCAGGGAGAACCCACAATTAGGGAGATCCGCAAAGCAATTAGCAAACTGAAAGAAAGGCCGTTTTAAAGGGCAAAGCCAGCAGCTCCAGCCGGCAGACGACAGCCTGGCTGTGGGTCCCCACCTTTCCACAGGTCGATCAAAGGGGGCTGTCTCTGCCCCAGCGAGGAATAAGACCCGATGCTCTGGAAAGGCTGCGATCGATGGGCAGTCCCTGTGAAATCCTGGAGCTGGCATGTGTTTTCAACCCACATGTTCATCTGCCCGTGGTCTAGGTAGCTTTGCACGATCAACTGGGAATCCCGTAGCGGGATCAGCTGCTTTTCCTGCCCCTAGGAGAGGGGAGATGCAGCAGCATAGCATGTGAAATCAGAGGAGGGTTTTTCAGCCTAATTACAAGTGCTGCTAAGGTTGGAGAGGGGAGAATTTACCGCTGCAGTTTGTCAGCAGTCGCAAGGACATGATGATGTTTCCTGCCGTGTCAAAGTCACGTCTCCCGCTGACGATAAACACCAACTTCTGCGCGCTCAGAAGCCCCAGGTTTTCTGGTTGTGCTCACAAGAGGTGCTCAGACGTGGTTTCCACCTCGGCCGGCTTTAGCTTACATATTGATTATCTTCCCTTAGGCTGCGATAGGAAAGCCCTGCAGGGCACAGGCATATCTCACTCACCCCCTCCCGCACGCAGGTCCAGCTGGGCTAGCGAGGCTCTGTGCATCCCCTCCTGCAGACATCTGCATCACCACGCTGATATAGGACCTGCTCACACACACACGACCCCCTTTTGCTGCAGCACCCAGCAGGCAGGGAGGAACTGTCTTCCCGAGGAAAGGTTTGAGGTACAGGCAGGTGTGGGAAGGCTCCCAAGGTCTCACCTACGAGCCCTGCTGCAGACCCAGGGGCTTGCAGATCCCTCTCTGTTGCCTGAGATAGAATAGCACAAGCTTTGGGGTTTTTGTTTGGGGTCTTTTTGTTGGGGTTTTTTTTTTTCCCCTGTCTGTTAAATCATTTGCTAAACCCCATCTTCCCTCCTGCTTGGGCTAGCTTGCAAGCCCCAGGAAATGACCCGGCACTGATTTGTGCCAAACAGGGGCTCCCATCACCGGGGTGACGCGGAAAAGCAAGGGGCCAGGTGAAGAGAATTTCTTGCAATTTGCAGCCCGACTGCGAAGTTGCTGTGTTATAAATCTATTTCCAATCCAATTTAGATAAGATAACCTTCTGTCCAAACATGCCTAATAACTCTGTGGGTACCATACCGTAATCACTGTAATTATTCCCGGAGAATTAAATGGGAGCAGGCACATTTTGCTCTTTCGAAAGTGCCATTAAAGCCCTCGTGAAGCTGCATTTGAGACGTCCGGGCTCGAGACGGAGGCGTCTGTTCCCTCAACTGCCGCGGGTGGGATTTTATGCTCCCAACTTCCATTAGCTGCAGCCGCCGCGCCGCGATGCGCCGTGCATTTAGAGCAGGCGGGCACCCCGCGGGGTGTAAACACCGGCCAGCGTGAGCAGACAGCCCCGGCCTTGGCAGCAAATTGTGTTCCCAGCCCTTAGCAGAGGGCTTGCAGCTCAAACCCTGGCGGGATGCTGGCTGCACTCAGCCAAGGTTGGTCCGGGCTGGAAGGACAAACCTCACATTCAGGACACGGCCGCTACGCCGCTTTTATTGAGTCCCCGTGGGAAAATTTGGCCCCGTGCCTTGACTTGTGGTGTAGCGCTGAAAAAAAAAACATCTTAATGTGATTAAGATGTATCTGTCTCCCGAGCTTGAGCGAGGCAGAGGCAGTGACTCATACCACCTTGCCGTGCCTGTCAAAACACTTGGCTCGCTAGAATAGCCTTCTGCACAAAAAAGCACTGATTCAATGTGCTTATATTTAAACAAAACACCCAGGGGCTGATTCACTGCGGCGTTACTACAGCCCTGGGCGCCCCTAACCCCGGCTGAGCAGCTCTGAGGCACAAGCAGAGCCTCTCGGATCCCACTTCCAAGCTCAAGTAGTTGGGAAAGGCTTGGTCTTCGCCAGCCTCCTGCGGGGAGATGTGCCCCTCGCTGGCTTTAGCATCAGTGCCAGGGTTCAAGGGCGCAGTTTAGGTGGTGCTCTCCTTTCCCCGCGCCTGCAGACACATGTGGACACCACCAGATGCCACAAAAGATGACAAAGCGGGTGACAGTGGGATGGCAGCTGCCCCCGGGCACAGGAGCAGCTCTTCAGCTTCTTTGGAGTATCCCTGCGATGGGGCTCCCTTGCTTTCAGGTCGTTTTTTTGCCCTGGTACCCCAGGCAGGCAGCACCCCTTCCCTCCTGGAGCGGGGAGGTAGAAGTTGAGCCTCTCGTGACAGCCCTGTGGGCTGGGGAAATGGGAAATGGGGATTTGGAATTGCTGGGATTTGCTACCAGCGAGCGTGGTGCATGGAGGGGCTTGTGCTTCGCTCTCCCGAGTGTGGCCTCCCACTCTACAAGTGGGAACACATTTCAAACCAGCCTCGCAGCCCCGGAGTGCTCTTGGCGTTCATGATTTTCTGGTTGTTTCCCTTCCTTGCTGCTGGAGCAAGTCGCAGAGGTTGTTGTGACTGTGCCCCTTTGTCTGATGCTGCGAGGTCTTTAGGAGTTTGAAATGCAGCCTTTTAAATGCACCCGAGAGTACGTCCCAGGTGGGTGCTGAATGGAATCACAGGAAAGGGGTGCCAGTTGGATGCTTGATGAACCCACTGCCGGGATGGTTGTACGTGGTCCTTTGCAAAATACAACTCTTTCCATCTGCCTCTGCCACCCAGCATCAGACCCCGGCATCTGCTAAAACACAGCCCCCTCTCTCCCTCTCCCCCCACCCCCCTCTTTTTCTCCCTCCTTTCCCTCCTCCCTCCCAGCCAGCACTCCCACGGCTCCTTGCCTTGCCCTGGGCTGCCTGATGTTTGCTGGTGATGCCCCAGGACCATCCATGCTCGAGGGATGCTGGATGTCCCACTGTCACCCTCCACCTCCAGGGATGCTGGATGTCCCACTGTCACCCTCCTCCTGCAGGGACGCTGGATGTCCCACTGTCACCCTCCCCCTGCAGGGATGCTGGATGTCCCACTGTCACCCTCCTCCTGCAGGGCAGGGAGAGGGATTCCTGTGGCCAGGAGCAGGAAAGGAGGGGTTTGCACAGACCCAGCCGTGCTGCAACACCCTTCACGCTGGGGTTGTCTGGTCTGCCCTGCACTGGGGCTGATTTTCTGCTAGGTTTGTCCTTTCCAGCCTTTTTCACGGAAAACTCAGTAGGGAGCAACTTTTAGCATTGGGATGCTTGGCTTGAAGGGAAAGGATGGGTCCGGAATTGGCTCATTGACCCATGTGCTGGGTTTGGCTCCTTTCCCACCCCCAACAAGCCTGGGTTGGCCACAGGAATGTCACTTTGTCTTTCTGGACCTCGCTCTTCCTCAAAGTAGCGGGAAGAAAACCGTAACATTCCCCCATCTCCCGGCACTGGGAGGATAAATGCACTTGTGATTGTGCAAAGAAAACACGGCGGCAGTGATTTAGAGAACCTAATATCAGAATAATTAAATCTCCAGGGTGTCCAGGCTCTGGTGTAATTCAAATGCTATGATAAAACCTGATAACAGTGGAAGGTGCTGCACATGGATTGAAACCAAGTGTTTACAGCTACTCGGTGACCAGCACAGCTGGACCCTTGCCCTCGAGAGATGAGGTTGGTGCAGGGGGCACCTCCGGTGTGTGCAGCCACCTGGGTTGACTTAAATGTAGTGTTGTCCCCCCCACAGAAGGGATGGTCCCCCTCTGAGCCCCCCCTGGGGAGAGGATGCTGTTGCGTGTGATTCATGTCAGGCTGGGTCCCAGAGCAGCACTGGGGGTCTTGGCTCCAAACGAGGAGTTAATCCAAGCTCAATTTGGGGAAGAAAATGTATCCCGTAGGACCTGACGTCGAGTTATTCTAAAAAATTACTCTGGATACTTTATTCCCCTGGGCTGCCTTTAAACATCAGCATAATAAGTATTTTTAAAAATTGCTCATCCAAAAGCAAACAACGGATATTTCTTTCAAAAGAGAGGGTTTGAGAGGTAACAATGCCACCTGCATGTGCACGTCGTCTTGTATTGTCGGGTGAATAGAAAAGCAAAACCCAGTCCAGCCTCTCTCATAGAGACTCGGTGGTCACCAGGCTCAAGACCGCTGACGTTAAGGATCTCATTAAGATGCTGAATTAGCACCAAGTCGCCTTTCCATAGAGAAGCAAACTCAGAGCAGCCTCCAGGTGTGCTCCCTCTGAGGGAGTAGACCTCCACTGGGCTGTTGCCACAGAACAAAAGCCCAATAGTCCCTGCTCTTAGCCCAAAGGCCGAGCATCTGTCCTGTGTGCCCTGAAAAACTGAAGCAACCTGGAGATCAACCCAGCTCCATCACCCTCCCACCACCCAGCGGGGGCTCTCCCGCTTCTCTGGGTCGACACTACCATCTAGTGAATATGCTCTGTATTGGTTTTCCAGGGAAGCTTGTGTAGAAAGTATAACCCATCCTTTGTCCTACAGGCACCTCGGTTTGGTGCGGAGACCCCCTGTTCTGCAGAAGGACGGCCCCATCCTGGTCCCTCCTGCAGCACATGGAGACATTTTAGATGGTCGGACTCGATGATCCCAAGGGTCTCTTCCAACCTGAATGATTCTATGATTCTATAACTCTATGAGACGTTCCCGGTTTGGGCATCCCTCTCGCCTTGCTCTGCCAGGCTGTAGGTGGCCTGGGTACCCTGCTTGGTTGGTAGCACCTGGAAACCCTGCCCAGCAGTGGCAGCACGTGGCTGTCAAAGCAGTGGCTTGGAAATGCCTTCACGTTTGCCAGCCTCCCAGGTGGGGTGAGGGCTGCAGATGGCGGGTCGAGGCTGAGAGTTGTCCCCAGCAGCATCCCACCTCCCTCCCCTTATACCGCCCCCCTCGACTGTGACATTACAGACACCGTGGCAGCAAGCATCACTGAGCCTCTTCTTCTTCTTCTTCTTTTGCACAGAGCTGATCTGATCGAGGCCTACCAAAGACATTAACGACGTCGAAAGTAGCCTACTTTAAGAGAAAATATGCAGAAGAAGAACATTTACATCAAGATTACCATGAGTATTGTCCAAAAGTGAGTAGCGCCCTCCTCCCAGACCCCATCCTCCCCTGCTCTCATTCTTTCATGCTAAAGACCCGTTTGCTTCCTCTTTACCCCCCCAGCACCTGATACTACCCGAGGACCGGACTTGTATTCTAAAACTTTCTCTCCAGAAACTCCGATTCCTGGACGACCCTGAAGCCTATCTCCGTAGGTCTGTATTAATTAACAATCTGTTGAGGAAGATTCACCTAGAGACAGAGAGGGAGAGCTATGAATACTTTAAGGAAGCTCCCTGCTATAGGACTGCTTACTCTGACGCACGAAAACGGCTGAAGCTGATGGTAGAGGAGTGCTGTTCCCAGTCGCTCTATTATGAAGAGCTGCACTCGTATCGCATTGTGCCTTACTCTGCAGAGAACGCCGTTTACGGGATGGGCTACACAAGCAGCCACTTGGAGCAGAACTCTCAATTGCTTATTTATAAAATGAATTAAAGTAACCGTTAGACCCACTGATGTTTGTTTCTGGATGCTCGGACTGCTTATCGGGATGTTGAGGTGGGGCACTGATTGCGGATGCACTGGTGGTGGGAGGCGGATGATGGTGCCTTCAGAAGCTGAGCGGAAGGTACTTTGAATAATGCAGTCCCTGCTGTTAACCCCCTGATTGTGAAGTACCTTGAGGTGCAGAGAGAGCTGGTGAAATGCGGAGGTCCTTAATTCGCAGAGACTGTGCGCAATGTGTTTTGTAGAAATAAAGCTGCATTTAAGTTATCTGTGTGTAGATACGGACGTTCAAAATCCCTTTGCAGTTAAGTTACGCCATCCCTGGTGGAAGGGGAGCCCCTAAAGCGGTGGAGTAGTGTGACAGTGAGGAGTAAATTTGCTGTAAAGGTATAGATAGGAAGTTTCTTTGAGAAATGCTTTGATCATAAAGGAGTCAGTGCCAAAGGAAAGAGCCTTTTGCTTAGGATTTTTCAGAGATTTAACTCGCTTGCTACTTACAAGGCACTCTATACTGAGGTTTACAAGGGTTTGGTTTGTGTTTGCTTGGTTGTTGTTTTTTTTTTTAAATAATTGCATTCACCTTTTACTTATATTATCTCTTGGCTGGTATCTACTTTGCTATTTTAATACAACCCAGAATGACTCACAGGAAAGAATGTTTCTTCAGCCTGTCGTCAGTGTTTCCTTAACTTCGTTTGGTCCCTTCCCTAGCTGCTTCCCTGATACTTCTTTGCATGCCAATTTGCTGTTTGGCCAGAGGTTCACATCGGTGCTAGGGAATAGACAGTAATTTCTTTTTATGTGGAATATAAGAGGCAGAAAAACAACGATGACTTTCATAGATATAGAGAATGAATGTATCTGACAAAAGCTAGTAAAACCTCAGAGGTTCTCCTGATGAAACCGCTCAGCGTTAGTGTTTTGGGTTAAGTGAAACGTCTGATTTCAATCTGGGAATTAACCTTAGAAGATGTAAATAGATACTTCACAAGCTATGACAGGAGGGATGCTCAGCAAATTGATGGCTGCAAGTGGAAAGTTTTATAGCTGCAAAAGCTACGTCACGAAAATACCAAAGAGTAATATAAGGGAAAAGATGATGCTCCAGCAATGGGGTCAGAAGCAAAGATTGCACTATAACCTGGGGAAATGTGATTAACGAGCCTGCAAACTACCCGTTACTGGTACACCTGCAGCTCACCCGTGGGTGACTTGCATCCCAGAATTGCTGAACAAATATAGGAGACGATCCAAAGCCTGTCCAAGGTCTGTTGGCTTACAGTGAAGAAACCAGCTTCGCCTTGCTGGCTGCCACCTCTTTAAAGCTTTAAAAGCAAAGTAAGTAATAGCGCACACTCAGCAGGAGGCAAATAAGTATCCAAGAACCTAATTTTTTTATTTTGAAAGGCTTTGCTCATGCAGATGTGGCTGATGCTGTTTCTCAAGCATTATACAGTACAGACAAATTCCATTGCTTACCAGGGATGTGCTCCATGTAGGATTAGAGCATCCTAGAGCATCCTAGTCATGTGTGTGGCGTGTATCATTGCAGCTCTTAAGGCACGTTAACACTTGGGTGTCAGTGCAGGAGAAAAGACAGAAAGGCACGAGCAGGAGGATAAGATAACTCCAATATCAGTAAGATATAAGCCAGACAGAAGGAAACATTGAAATCCAGAGAAATTTTTTTTCTAATGAAAAAAAAGAAAAAGAAGAAAAAAGGCAACAGTCTAATTCAAACCAAGGCTAACCTGCGAACTGGAGGACAAAAACAGCACAGATACTGTGGGAAGGCTGGAAAAACAGGGCAGTGCTGTTTGGGAGGTGCTCTTAGTCACGATGAATGTTCAGGTTTTTGTTTTTTATTTTGAGATAAGGCATATTTACTTGCCTCTTACTGAAGGGACTTTAAAGGGTCTCTTTACAAAAGGTCTTTAAACCCTTGGTCAGTGTAATTTGGTGTCAGATCTGCTTGGCTACCTGTCTTGATAGTCCTGCTGCCCCTGGGCTTGCACCAGCCCAGACCCAGGCGAGGGATTAAGCTCACATTAAGCATAGTTTGAGAAATTTTCAGCTAAAAAGTGGCCGTGCCCATCTTGACAGGGGCTGGATGGCTGAGAAAGGCCAGGCTAATCATCAGGTGTGTGGAACAGCCCTAATACCGCCGGTAAAAGCCCTCTGCTGTGGGCTGATGGCAGGATGGCTGCTGTGAGAGGTGCTGTTATCCCCCCCCCGAGATCTCCCTGGCCTCTCCTGGCACCTTGTGTGCCTCGTGGGGACCGAGGAGCGGGGGCAGGGACATTAGAAGACTGCTGGGTGGTAATGGAAAATTACTTCTATCTTCTGATTTTTCAAGCTATGTAATTTTCTGCTCCAGAGTGCTCTGATTTATGCACTTTTTTTTTTCTCCCTGTCCATTTTCGCCTGAATTCGTCATGATCTAGCAGCTACACGAAATGCTAAAATGTGGTTTTTTTTTTCCTCTCACTGACCTACTTTCTTATATTCAGAGGGTGGTTCTGGCCCGAAAAACCAAAACTTTTTATGTAAAATGAATAATGTTGCAGTGGAATAAAAAAGCTCAGTAGGACTAAAGCCTTTAACCTCACCTGAAGAAATCCCATTGCCCCTGTTGGATTCATCTTTGAAGAGTAACTTCCTTGCCTGCTAGAAGGGGCAGATACTTTCTTGCCCCTTGAAAGCTGCTCTGATAAGGTGTTACAATAACTGAACAGATATAAAAGACAAAAATCTGGATCAGATAACAAAACTCCTTGGACTACCTGTGAAAGAGGATGATATTTTACTCATGTTTTTCTCATGGATTGTGTTATTGAACAAAAGACATTGTCTGATGTTTTTATTTCTACTCGCTCTAGGAGCTGTTAAAATTGCCGATTGCTTTCTAGAAAACAAATTGGTTTTTTATGGTTGACTTTTGATATGAAATTGAATCAAAAGTCCACAATTCTAAATATTTTGAGTCTGCTCAAGTTTTTACTGCCTTCCGCTTTGCGCAGTGACTTGTGCTGTTGAAAAGTGGGTCTGAAATATTCTACTTTAGAGCTTAAACCCCATAGTTTATGGGGTGATAAAGAAGTACAAAGGTGCAATAACATTGAAAGTTACTCCCAAAATATTTAATTTGTCACTTTTTGACTTATATACTGATTCTAACTTTTAGTTACCAGGTTAGTAGGTATCAAGAGTTTTAATACAGCTACATACAGTGATTTTTCTTTTTTGAGTTTGTAGCTACAATTCAGCTCTTCTGGCTTCGGATGTGTGAATCTGTCTGTAGGTGGTCAACTTTCAGCGATAGATAGATAGATATATATATATATTGTTATGACTGCAGTAGGAACTCCCACATACGGGCTATGTTTGCACTGGATGTAAAGAAAGTCCTTCCTTCCCTTTGACTCAGTTGCCATGGAGATAGTATATTCATCATCGGAGATGATATAGATGAGCTGGGTGACAAGGACAGACTTGGTAACGGTTTTGAAAACAACGGGTTTAGGACAATTCCTTTTTGTCTGGGAATAGCAGCACGCTTGACTGCAATTAGCCGTTTCAAGGAGTCAACTTTTCTTTGTGCTGCTTTTCCCTAACTGGCTGTAAATGCCAGTTTACATTTGGGGGCCTGATCCTGGGTGCAGGAGGGGTGGTGGTGGTGGCCCCACGGGAGGCACGGCGTGGGAGCTGTGGCTGGAGGCAAGAGGGGTACGGATGCTGGGGGGGGGCAGCATCTCGCATGTACGACACCCCAAAATATTAGGGCCCCAACCCTGTAAATGCTTCAGTTATCACCTAAGTTTCTTTGCACAGATCCTCTTGCTGGATCCAGGGAGGCTCCTCAAGTACTTGGTGCTCAGCGTGTCTCTGCGCGTGGGTGCAGGTCTGGGGCTGCTGAGCACCACAGAGGTACTCCTCAGTTGCCTAATTATCCGTGAAAGTGATTATCGAGCTGCCGCTTGAGTTCTTGAACACGTTTCTATTGCACTGTAAATTTAACTTTTTGTTTTCATACGAATGTGTCGAGTATATGGACTATCGTGCCTTAAAGTCCCATCCTCATACGAGCCTTTGTGTATGTTCTGTAAATCTGCAAACCATGTATAGCTGATATCTCTGTGCACCCTACACACATCCCGTTCGGTACTTGGCAGGGCTTTGGGAAACACGACCCTGACCTCAATTTGCCATGAAAACAGAGGGGAATACGGCAATTCACTCTTACCTTCTTTTTTTTTAGATTGCTTTCCTCTTCTCCGTCCGTGAAATTCCATTTTTCTGGTTTCTGGTGTGACTGGGTTCTGGGTTACCTACCTTCCCCTCACAGGAACTCAGAAAGCTGTAAAAAAGTCATCTCCAGCTTTTAAATGCCATCTGTACAGCGCGCTCTCAGCAGGGAATCACAATTGTATATAATATCGGTGGCAGGTGGTGTCAAGTATATCATCATATATTTGACATGATTAACAAAGCAGAAAAGGGAACACCTATTTCTATTGAAATGCATGAGCCTGCATTATGTTAACTACATGGTGATTATACACCACTTAATTGGAATAATACCTACTGGTTCTATTAAAAAAAAATGGCTTTTTAATGTTTAAAATTACTTGGGACCTGATTAAAGGTTTTTATGAAATTGTTTTCTAAAGTGAATAGTAGAAAAATGTATATGTATTTTAAATATACATATGATGTGCATGTTATTAATAAAGATCTATTTCTATTGAAAGGGATGGACTCTTATTGAATATATGCTGCTTGGTCAACATGTAAAGTTACTGAAAAGAGGTTTCTAACACCATCAGCCCCCTGAAAAATTGTAAACCCACAGATTCTTTGAAGGACCTGGATCCCCAGGGGGAACCTGGGCTTGTCTTACAATATCTGATGTGCAGGGCTGGAGCAACTCCTCTGGATGCACAAACCCTGGCATTCACTTGTCCTGCTGGGATCCCATCCCAGCTTGCCTGTGGGCTTGCAAAACCCTTCTCCTTTTCTTTGTTTATTTAATTTGTGTAAAAATGTGCAAGGAATCATTGTCCTGGTGATGTTCTGCAGGGTACCTTCCAAAGGCTGAAGGGTGAAAGATAAAACAGGTAGTTAATGGGGTGGTTCGGGAAAATAGGGATTGTTACCAAAAATACTGGTTATAATGGATGTATCTCCCTCATCCTCAGGGCTTTCTTTTTGGGGCTCTTTTTCCTGCAGAAACTGAAACAAAGCCCTGAAAACATTTTAAGATATTGAAAAGGAGAACTCTTTACAAAAGGATGCACTTTCTCCACTGCACAAGAGCCTCTCAAACACAGGGAAACCTCTTCCAGGACTGGGTACCTCCATGCCCACCTCCAGCCAGGGCTTGGGTACCACCTGTGGGTTGGAGGCCCAGCTTTTTTAAGGACCTGAGCATTGCAACCAGCTGCCGTAGGTAGAACAGTAAATCAGTCACCTCCTCTGATGGTGTGTGTTGTCAGCCTGAGGATGGCTCTGAAACCAGCCATCCTGGGTTCCCCACGTACCTTGTTTGAATGTGGTGTTACCAGAATTAAGCAGCCACCACCCAAATCATAGAACCATAGAATCATACAGGGTTGGAAGGGACCTCTGGAGATCATCTAGTCCAACCCCCGTACCGGAGTGGGTCTACCTAGAGCAGGTTGCACAGGATCTTGTCCAGGCATTTTTTGCATGTCTCCAGAGAAGGAGACTCCACCACCTCTCTGGGTAGCCTGTTCCAGTGCTCTACCACTCTCACAGGAAAGAAGTTCCTCCTCGTGTTTAGGTGGAACTTCTTATACTCAAGTTTGTGCCCATTTCCTCTTGTCCTGTCCCTGGGCACCATTGAGAAAACACCGGCCCCGTTCTCCTGACTCCCTCCCCTTAAGTATTTCTAAGCATTGATCAGATCCCCCCTCAGCCTTCTCTTCTCCAGACTAAAAAGACCCAAGTCCCTCAGCCTCTCCTCACAAGAGAAAACTGACTTAGTGAGGAAATAAAAGAAGCTTGTAACCTCCCAGTGCAGCCACACTGTGTTGTCCAACCCATGCAAATACTTTCCCACCATGGATATTTTGGAAGCGATGGGAATCATCCTGCCACAAGGCAGATTCTGCTGCAGACCGCAGGCAGGGTCCTCCCTACCAACTCCTCTGCCACTAAAGGAGGTGGTGAAAGCATCATGGCTACAACGCCGTGGGCTCGCTCTGCTCTCATCTGTGTTTTCTTTTTTTTTTGCTCTTTATGGCCATTTGCAGCCAGTTTGAATCAAAGCAGCTCCTGGAGCAGCTGGCAGGGTGTGAGATGTGTTCACCTGATTCGTGTCAATGTCTTTAACCGTTCTGTGTGTCCTTGTGTAACTGTGGGCTTAGGAGAAGCAGGACGGGATGTACATAGTTTCTATTTCTTGCAAAAACCCCTCAAACGAACCCAGTTGTTGTTGCTGGCCGCATGGTGCTGAGCGGGAGGGGTCTGTGGGCCCTCCTGGGGGCTAGCCCAGAAAAACTACCTTACCCAGCGACCACCGGGTGGAAGTCAAAGAAGATTCCAGCAGGTGAGGAGGGCACGGCCAAAGAGAACACGCCCATCCCTGGGGATCATTAGCATGGGCCAACCTTCTATGAATATGTATGACAGAAGACATATAAACCCAAAACGGGGCCTGCACGTGGTGCGCCTTGGTTGAGCAGAGACTCCCGGCGCATCCGGCGCCGTTTGCTTGTCTTTACTCGTTTAATCAATTGTAAACTTTAATTGGAATCCTGTTTGAGGCTAAATCATTTATCACATTTATCCGGGATGGTCTTGGTTTCTGAATTCTGACTTGATCTAGGGGGGGCGCCCCACCGCTTTGGTGGCTCCTGGTGGGGTCAGGTGGGGACTAAGGCCATCCTGAACCTGAGGAGGGACAAGCAAAGAATTTAATTTTTTTTTGAGCTCCCTCGCCGGCTGCAGCAGTTTGTTTTGCCTGTAATTCTGTGCACGAAGATCTGAACGAAGACGACAGAGTTGTAAGTATTTCAAGGCGTTTCCCTGTTGGGTTGGGTGGGATTCGGTTGCCTGTGTGTGTCAGAGTGTGATTGAGATGGAACCTGGTTCTGAAGCCATTGTGGAGGTCTTCTAACTGCGGTTCCAATCTCCCGCAAGGGACTTGGCTGGTGAAGGACCGAAGCGATTCCTGTAGGATTCGTGGGTGGGTGATAGGTCCTAAACCCCCTGCAAGACACCCTTACCGGTAACCAAGGGCCGTAGGAATTGCCACAGTAAAATTCCTAGAGGGGTCAGACAAAATCGAAAACCCAGGACCAGAAGAAAGGGAGCAAATTACCAGACATACCATCAGAAAGTCCATTAGGAATAATGATTAGGAATTGGAATAAAAGGGGGCCCCAGAAAAGGAAAAAGTAAATTAAAATTGGTTCAATGTTGTATGATTGAATGGCCAAAGGAACCTTTAAAACCACATGTTTTTTGGGCCTGTTTTTGGATCTTTTGAAGACTGGATTTGCCAGGCCTTAAGTATGTATGTTAATTTAAAGGAACCCTTTAGTCAGGAGGAAAGTGATTATGCGGAACTATGGATCAGGACTTCACGTCCTTTTCCAGCCTCAATATTTGCATTCAAAACAGATGAAAAGTTTGAGGAAGAAGAAGGAGATAAAAATGAAAAAAGGAAAGGAAAAAGATGATCAATGGGAACCACTGGATAACCTACCACCTCCAGATTCTAACAATCCACCTCTGGTGGCAGCTCCCCCTCCGGTGGCCGTAGCACCTCCACCAGTGCCACCGTTGTCCCTGCCTCCACCACCACCGGAATTAGATCAACCTCAAATACCACCGATATAGGGAATTTTAAGAAAGAAATGGGGACTCCCCTTGGAGTAGCTGAAAAACTAGACCAATTCCTAGGCCCCAATACTTATACCTGGGAAGAAATACAATCCATTTTGGGGATCTTATTTACTGCAACAAGAGGGGACGTGTTCAGAGGAACTGCCGTAAGCGAGAACAAGATGAGAAAGAAAATGTTCCAAGAAGAATAGGGGTGTAAGGGGCTATATCTTCTGGGGACTTCAACATCAACAGAGCCCTTGATAAAATTATTAATTGGTCCCCATAAAGAGGAAGTTTTATTTTTAGTAGATACAGGAGCCAAAAATCAACCATTCAAAAACTTCCACAAGGAATAGAAGAAGGGAAGAGTTATATGTCAGTAGTAGGGGGAAAAGGAGAGCCTTTTAAAGTACCTATCTTAAAAGATGTAGAAGTAGAAACAGAAAAGAAAATTTGCATTAATGATTTACTTTTGCTGCCTGAAGTGGAGTACAATTTATTAGGAAGGGATTTGATTTTGAAATTAAACTTGAGCATTCAGAGTCAGGGGGACAAATTGCAGATTAAATTATATACTTTAACACAGGAGGATGAAGAAGCTACATCAGAATCCAGTACATTGATTCTGATCAGGGCACACACTTTACATTAGGTATTCTGCATAATTGCATGTTTATGGCCGATGGGCATCTTATGCCCATCCTTTGGGGGCACAGGTCCATATGCAGATAGCTGAGGTGAAGACATGTCTGCCCCGGAGGAGAGCCAGAGCCTGTCTCTGGTTGCTGCTCGGACACGTGGACTTCAGAATTCAAAGGATTTTGTGGGAGTAGCTGAATTAGGCCAAAAATTTGGGCTGGAAGAGGTGGAAGGTCTAAGCTCACAGCAGCCTTGCGCTTGTTACCATGTAGTCACTTTTCACCTGAGATTGTTTACCTGGTAATTTCTGTCTTGGGACGTGAGTCTGGGTGAAGTAGTGACCAGGGGCTGATGGAAAGGCTTGGCAGCATCTGCTCTTACCCCACTTTGGATGGAAAAAAATTATCAGTGATGCTGTGAGCATTGAGAGGGTTAAAAAAAAATAAAAATCTCACGTATACCTGGGATTTGAAATTCTCAAGGCTGCAGGTCAGCTGGAAGGTGAGGGCAACATGGGGAAACAGTATTTTAGACGCCGATGTCTCCAAGTCTGCCCTGTGGTGTGCCTTGTCCTTGCTCCCTGGCAGGTCCCAACCCCCAGCAGATATGAGCAGGGCAGACTTTTTGCCTGAAGATGGCACTGCTGTATTGAAGGATTGCTGGAAAATAGCTGGAATAGAGCTGTGCCTACAGCTAGGCTGGGAGAACTTAGCTATGGGTGCAGTGATGGGGTGCTCTCTGGGTCAGGGCTCAAAGAACCCCGATTCCCACCGACAGACAGCCCCAAACCAAGGTTCCCTCTGGAGCTGTTTTGCAACTTAGTTTTGAGTTTTTCCGCAGCGCTTGGAACTGGGCAGTTCTCTTAAAAAAGCTCTCTCTCTTAAAAAGCAGTGTGGTGTGTGCTGGTTGCTGAGCTCTGAGGAGGTCCAACGTGAGGATAACAAAAGGCAAGAGGCTGCTCCAGCTTATTCACACGGGACCCTCCTCATGTTCTGATCTTAAGAGGGTGGATAGGAACATGGCCCAGGCTCTGCTCAGGTGCTTAACATCAAGTAAAATGGTGATGGCCAGAGCCAGAAGGTGTGAATGAAGTTGTCTCTCCTGGGCCTGTGTCCTGCCCCTCCTCCTTTCACTTCTGGAAGGACCTACAAATATCCCTATGCTTTGCAGATAAGAATTAGTCCATGTGGTGGGGGAAAGATGACCAAGATCTCCCAGGGCTGCTGTCTGAGCATCAATACTGGCTCTGTTTCAACA